AGGAGCTGGCGTGTAAGCCAGAGCACACTCAAAGAGCGCAAAAAGCGATGACTGAAAAGCACGGCTAGAAGCCATGACCAAAAAAGCTAAAGAGCTAAAAAGGCGCGATGACTAAAAAACATAGCTCAAAGCTATGACTAAAAAGCCACATGGCTAAAAGTGATGACTTGAAGCAGTGGCTAGAAGCTAAGGCTAAAAAGCTAAACACTAAAAGCAAAAAGCTAAAAAAAAAAGCAAAAACTAAAAGCAAAGTTTGATGGTGTCCTGAGTATTTAAACCGGGTTGTTGGCCACATCCCAAATGGTGTTTTGACCAATTAGACGCTGTCTTTGCTCGGGGTGTTGCAATGTTTCTCCCAATTCATAAATCAAATGTTATCTCATCAGTCACATGGTCCGAGTTTTCCCGCTCTTGCAGAGTATAATTTTGGACATGATTTCTATAACAAGAATATGATACATTTGACAAAGGATTGATTGGACGAAACGTTTCAAGCAAGAAGATTCAAACACATAAATAAAAAAGTAATAAAGTAGACAGATATATAAAAATATTTAAGTACAGTATTTTGAGAGCCTAGGGAGAGGAAATCCATTACATCACGGTCCTTCATGGGGGTGGGCTCTATGCAATTTCTTGATATACACACTTATTAGTTGTCATGACAATACTGCTTTTAATTGTTGCTAAATGCTAAGTTTGTGAACCAGTCCAAAACACTTAAAAATCTTGTGAATTTTAATGTATTGAATTTAAAAAGGAGGCTACTTAAAAAAGATTAATATATTGAAATTATGGCTGTAAGTTTAACGCCTTAACTTAATTAATTAGTTATGAAAAAATAACGCAATTAAAATATTTAACGCAGTTAACGCACTGGCCCCGTCCCCAGACCTGTACATCATCTTTTATACAGTTGACTGATGACAAATATGATGCAGGGCGACAACTCCAATAAATGCAGGTATGCCCTTAAATTCAAGATATTGGGGCAAAAATTTTCCTGAGTTTTTGTCTCATATTTATATCATATGATAAGGGATATGATAAATGAATTCGAATTTATATGACTCATAAAGACATTTGCCAATTTTAGTTTCTTATTTAGAGTATTATTGTATTATTTTATTTATATCGTTTTAATACATTTTATAATTTTTTTAAAAAAGGGGATAAAAACTTTAAAGGGATAGTTCACCCAAAATTGTTTTTAATTATGTCATCATTTACTCAAACTTGAATGACTTACTTTCTTTTGTGGAACATAAAAGGTGGTATTTTGAAGACTGTTGGTAACAAAGCTGTTTTGGTTACCAGTGACTTTCATTGCATAAACGGGGGAAAAAACTGAGATGTTTCTCAAATTATCCATTTATGTTAGGCCGTTGTAGCCTAAACGTTAATGTGTAATACATTTTATGCTGAATCAAATGAAATATTTTTTTCTAAAGCTACTTTTTGTAATCTCTACATGATACTTTCTCATTTAACATGAAAATAGCTTTAAATAATCTTTTGTGGGTATTTTCAAAGCCAAATGTAATTTGCAATTAATTAGATGAATTAATCGACACATCATGTAATTAATTCGATTAAAAAATGTAATCGACTGACAGCTTTAATTGAAATAATGTTTTGACTGTATTAAGAAAGTTATTTTCAACACACACTGTAAACAATAAATCTGTAAAATAACAGAAAGTACTGGCAGCTCATTACACACGACATTATCCATTAATTTTGCGGACATTTCTGTTAACTCTAAAATACAATGCAATGAAGTGTAAAATTCAGAATACTAGTAAAACACCAGTAAAAAAATAAATACGGAAAAAATCCTTCAAATGATACAGTATATTGTGCCCCATTTTTACAGATTTTATTTTTAGAGTGCAGCACTCATCCCACAGTTAATGACCATATGTTTTTAAATAAAAGTGAATAGGGCCCACAATACCCCTCATCTGGACCACCCCCTTTCTATAGGAATAAGCAGATATGTCCACAGATATGTTTTCATGTTTAGTCACCAGAGGGCGCTAGGAGGGTTATTTGTTTCATACCCTGCAATCTGAGATGTATGAATGCAGTGCAGTTACTAAATGTAGTTACATATGATTTGCAATAATCAAATATAATAATAAGACACAACAAAAATGCACAAAAATCCACAAAATGTATGTCACAAGCCATGTTCAGTTTCCTTGAAAAATAATTTATTATTAGAAAAAATGAGTGCAGAATGTCATGCAAAGTGCTGAATTAAATACTAGCATGAAGTGAATACACACTCAGAATTTTAAAATCCCTCTAAATACACATTAACATTAAGTTGTGCACAGAACATTAAGGGTCATTCTGTGTCTGCTGAGACAGATTCTGTCAAAGTCTCTACAGGATGTGGTCTACTGGAACTCAAAGCGGCAAAAAATAAAGTTCAGCCAGTATGAAATGAGAAATGTAAATAACAACACAAAGCTCTTTTTCCTGATATGTGTCTACATACTAATATACCATTGATAAAGCACTTTGGCTGGATAGGTTTGGAAATAATGGAAAGGTTTTGTTAATGCTGTTGTTCCCTATAGACAGGGTCTTTAACCGCAGTGAACAGAAGATGCTCAAAATAAACCACAAAGAACTGAGACAATCTGCAAACATTAGCTTTAGATCAGAGAACCGATTTCCTGACAGATTTAGTGAGTACAGAATCTTAATATTAAAACATTAATTCTGAACATAATTGCGGTCCTGGTTTGTTTGGACTATTTAAATTCAAAGTGATGAAAAAGTGAAATGAGAATTGAAATAAAGAACTGAAAAATACCGACCAATCACAAAAAAAAGTTAACTTTTTGGTTTTCACCGCTCCTTTGTCGGATCCGCCGGGACTGCCGTTCTCGATCCCGCCGCCTCAGCTCACTCTTGCCCGGCCTCAGCTCACGCTAAGCAGGGGTTTTCGCTCACGCTAGGCCGCTGCGTTTTCCGTTGTGAAAGCGAAACTACTTTGTTTGGTCTTCCAAAAGAGGACGATATCGCTTCGTCATGCCTAGAGCTAATAAATGTCATCATTTAAAAGTTTAGTTCAGAAGTATCAAATCGGTATTGATATCGACAATACTGCCTTGAAAAATGTCGGTATGGTATCGAAAACAAAATAAGTGGTATCGCCCATCCCTAGCCCAGACCATTACAATATCCTATGTAATAATGCACAATTAAAGTTGGATGCAATTACAAAGTCAATTAGAATGTATGCAATATGTCAAACCTTTATAACGAGGAGAACAAATGTCAACCCCAATTCAAAGCAGCTCAATTCCGCAAGAAAACGGTTAAGGCTACATGCGCACATGAATTCTTGCGTAATTTTTGTCACGCTGAACAACAATAAATACTGTATTTACATTATTGTAAAGGGTGGGGGTAACGTTAGACGTTAATAAAACATAATCTTATAGGTACACTGTAAAAAAAAATCCGTAAAATTTAGGGTAAAAACCGGCAGCTGTGGTTACCGGAATTTTACCGTAAAAAATACGGTAGCAACATTTTAGGTTTTACAGTTTTAACTTAAATTTACAGTTAAATACCGTAATTTAATTTGATATGATGTTAATATACCAACCTATTGAAGAACTGAACTCTGTTTTGTACCTTTGTAATACACTGATAACCACCAAATGCAGGTGGTGATGAGAAAATTACATGATGAACCAAAGCCAATCACAAGCAGCTTTTAGATGATAACATATATAGAAGGTGCACAGTGTCATTCACACAAACACTAAACACCATCATGGTAACACACATGAAACTGAAATAATGCAATAAACATTCATTTAACAACATTAGGTGTAACACACAACCCTAATATACAAAACTGATAAGAAAAAACTAAGAAGAAACATAGTTATTTCAACAAAAAAACATAAAATTTTAAATGTAACGCAGGGAATTCTGGGAATGTCAATTTACGGTTATTCACTGTAAATTATACGGTATTTTTCACTTCCAAAAACGGTATACTACCGTAAAATTGATGTCCAATACATGTAATGTCTAATACAGTTTTTCACCGTATATAGTACCGTTAACCATTTAACATGCTTTTACTGTAGCATTTTTACAGTCTTTTACCATTAAATTCACGGTCATTTTTTACAGTGTAGCAAATTTAATTTACTGTTACTTTCCCGCTGCAGCTGTATCCCTTCTAGCCACAACGCGGCAAAAAAAAAACCCAAGTGGCAAAAACCTACGGTACTTCCGAAAGCACAACCGGACCAGCTTCTCTAAAACTCTATTGGTTGAACAGATGCATCTTAGTATGCATACGTCACCACGTGTTGCCGCCTGGGCGAGGTCAAGCGCGCGCACACTTCGCACTGTCAGAGATCTGTAGGGTTTCTATGCGGGGCTCAAAACTTAACAGCTTTACGCAAAATGAACATATGAATTACCTTAAAATAATGACACACGAGTTTCAGTTTTCTGAGGCTTTACGAAAATGATTCGCACACTTGCTTTGTTATTTTTGTTGTGTCTGGTTGGTAAGTTATAAATCTATGTTTATGAAAAAAAGTGTTATCATAAAGTAAGAAAATTAACATTAACGTTTAAATATTTACGTCGTTTCATTTTGTTCTGCAGGTGTGTTTGCTGTCGAGTCACGTGAAGTGTCAGTGATGGTAGGAGATTCTGTCACTCTGGACTCTAATGCTTCAGAAACAGAGCAGAAGAATGAGATCGAGTGGAGGTTTAATGACATTCGCATAGCTAACGTAATAACGGGCAACCCTTCATATATTGTCAAACTTTCAAAAAATAAAATAATATAAAAACCTTATCTGTTTGCAGATAATGAATGAGTTTGAATGACAAGCACCAACTTTATAATAAATTAAAGCACCTTTCCCTATTTTTTATTTTCAAATAAAATGAAAGTCTTAACTCCTTTTCACAGTGCAAAATGGTTGATTTTCAAACTCTGTTAATGTGTACTGACTATGAACTACTGCTATTGGTCATCTCTGTTCAATTGCTGCATCGTATCACACTCTGTATTTGTTTCACCACCTATAAAAAAACAAAGAAAAGAATCACAAGAGTTACAAGGAGACAAATAGCACTTATCTACATGTAATGTTAATGCTACAGCTACACAAACCCAAAGAAACTTACAAAAAAGGCAGCAAAATAAACACTGACAATTATCTTATGCTTCATTTCCTTTTTGGGTGTTTTTATGTAAGATATATATATATATATAAATATATATATTTTTTTACATTTTCTAACAGGTGAACTCAAATGGTTAATTAACTTCAAAGGAGATGTGCGCAGTGTTTTGATGTTAAAATACTTATCCCAGTTCAATATGCAGAGATGAATATAAGAAATAAGCTGTTGATAGGTTAATTTCTGAAACTCTGGCTCTGTGACTAATGAAGCATTGACCTGTTTGTTTACGCATTTAATGCTGAGTCAGAACAGATGGAATCCAACTGAAAAAAAACTGCTCATTAATTTACCACCTGAGTCAAGAAATCTCTAGCTTCCCCCTATTAACCAAACATTTTCAGGTGTCAGGTTGACATATTCAATTTCATGCTTGAATTACTCATTTTACTTACTCTTTTTGCATGGCCAACATACTTCAAACCAACCCATCTTGATCCCAATACAGATTCCGATTCCGATCACGACTAAGATCACAACAATGACTGCCAACACTGGACCAGTTGTCTGCCACTGTGAACTCGGGGGGAGCTCTGTAATAGATCAGCAAAGATCCCTGCTATTGAAGACATATGTTGACAGAGGCAGATCAACATTTTAATTGATTCCTAATGCCTATATATGCATGAACATTTATATGAGGCTTTTCGTAAGACTGCAGTACCCGGTCCTATCTCTGCCAGTGATCACTAGTGAAATCTAGTGAAAATCGTGCTCATTTCGAAGTACTCTAATGTCACCTTTGCTGATGACTGTTGATTTGATAATGCGCATCCAACTCAAAGTTGTCCATCCTCCAGGGGTAGACTGACGCACAAAGGACTCCTTCATTGTGTCGCATTGAAATATCCTGACATTTTTTGTAATAGTTCACCCAAAAATGTAAATTATGTAATCATTTTCTCAACCTCTTGTCATTCTAAACCTATAAGACTTACTTTCTTCTGGCATACAAAAAGAAGCTCAAATGTTATTTTATGTTCCACAGAAGAAGGTAAGTAATACCTAGTTGGAATGACATGAGGGTGCATAAATAATGACAGGCATTTCATGTTTTAGGTGAAATATCCTGTAAGCTAGCAACTGTCATTTACACCTTAATAATAATAATGCTGAAAAATTGTGATTGCACTGTTGACTGTACAATTAACAATACATTTTTGTCTGCATTAATACAAAATAAGGTGTGAATCTGAGCATTTAAACTGTTCTCTGTATGGTAGGGTAAACATAAAAAAAAGTATAATTTGATAATTGTAGAACCCAACAGATTCATAAAAAAACAATACATGGTAGGAAAGTTTGAGCCACTCACCACTAACTGCAATATGGAATTTCCTGTGTAAGATCACGCTGCTGTTGTTGATCTCCAGATCATAGTCTCCAGTGTGTTCAGTTTGGATGTTTCTGATGATGAGGTCTCCAGTATGATCATTCAGTTTGATCATGTTTTCCCATCTAGCATCAGTAGTGCCATTTAATCCATTAACTTGCTCGAGACCATCGACGGTTCCGAGGATTGTAAGTTTACATTTACTGAATGATTTTACTATCAAAGTCTTAATTAATATAGACTTACAATATGTCATTTGACAGTTTAAAGGCTCAGGATTCTAAATCTATGATCGTGATATTATAACAATAATATCGTTTTCATTTGTATTAGGAGTTCGTATAAATACACGCAACATTGAAATGAGGAGTTCTGAACTGTTTTTGTCCAGTGACGATGACAGATAAATTCAATCATGCAAACATCGGTGTAGTATTCATGATAACTATCCGAAACCAAAAATCAGTTAGAGTTTTAGTTTAAAATTTTGAAATTTAAGACTAATAGTGATGTGACATTTGTTTTGATTAAGTAATATTTCTCGAGGGAGAATTACATTTCTTTTTTATTGTACATTAAATTTTGCACATTAAAGGTTGTTTCAGTAATAGAACCCTATGTTATCATATTTGTTCGAGTCTTACGAACAGAATAACCCTGCCCTCAGCGTTTTTTCTGCAGCACTGATTGGTCAGAGATTCAAAACACTCTAACAGTGTAACCTCCAAAAATGCCCAACCCAATCTTCACTGTGCACAGTCAGTCAATGTAACGCTTGTTCAATTTTTGATGGGTGCAAAATGCAGCCAACAAATGATTACAGAGAATTATATGGATTGTTTAGATTCTTCAGTTAGCCATATGCAGATTTTTAAGCATAGCATTTGTCATTGAGAATCTTGTCTTTAATAAAATGTTTTTATTCTTACTGAATTTACCTTGTGTAATTCATAGGCCACTGGCATCATAAAAAAATATATTAAATTTTAGTAACTGTATTCGAACAGGTTTTTCACGCACTCCCCTCATCTTCCATTGGTTAATAAAACATTTAGTCCTGCCCTAATCTCACTCCAATGGTTGAGTCAATGTTGCTTTGTCAAGCTGATTGTGATGCTCAAACAGGTTTTGAGAACAGCGCAATGCCATTTTTTTTCCATTTTTCAGTAATATCTATGAATGTCTCACTTAGACATGACTCTGCTTATTAAACTGGGAGATAAAAAAGGGAATTTAATGCTGAGAACACATCACTTTTAATTCTTAAAGTCAATGTGAAACAAATTTTGCAACCCATTTTATTGCAACTGATTTTCATCCAATTTGGTGCATTGCTAAGTGAAATAGGATATCCAATGAGGGAAAAAAAATGGGACACGACCTGATTTTATACATCGGAATTGATTCGATGGTAAAAAGTGGGTGTTCCATGTGAGAATTTGAGCCTGAACTGAATGTGAGCTTAAAATACTTGTATTAAGTGCACTTCTTAAAAGTTGCATTCTTCAAGAAGAAAAGCTTAGATGAACCTAATTTTCAGTGGCTCCATCTTCTAATTTGATTTATAACTTGGTCAGAATTGTGGCTTTGACTTCATTGCTTTTTAAGTTGCTCTGACACATTTTCATTGATTTACTCCTAAATATCTTTCATGTAAATAAATTAACTATTACTTGTCAAAATATTTAAGCTTCTCTTAATTTATGTCTACATTGCAATAATAATTTTGGATACTTGAGCAACAAACTCTTAACTATCATCTTTCTAAAGAGCCCTCAGTTTTGCCTGTAGCCCAGAGGGTTGATGAACTGTGACTGTTTTAGTTTGTGTAGGTCAGGTTTGGGTTTGAGCTCAACTAGCGGGGGCGACTGTTAACAGGTTAAGCGAGCGATGAGGGTGCCTTGATCTCCAAACTTCCACAGTATCTTATCATCTCCCTGTACTTTAGTAACACCAGTCTGTAGAGTGACAGAATCTCCCTCCATCACTGATACTGACTGCACATCATCTGTCACAGCAACAAACACATGAACAATTTTTGGAAAGAGATTAAGTTCAAATTGCTTTGAGTAAATTTCCACACTTGTACTTGTATATACTAATTGGTGAACATTACCAAACTGCGTGGCTGGATTGCACTGAGTCTATTAACTCTCTCGTCCTATACCTATTCATCTTTTGGACTGGCTTTTCATACATATGTAATGTGAAAAGCTACAATTACCTGAACTGAAAATTGTTATACAATAAATCTCTGAAATCTTATTCAGAATGTATTTCTGGTGTTAAAGTCAGTTTTAAAGTTCTATTCTACCCGATAATATTATTTGTATTACAATTTGTCTATTACAAGTTTTGCTCAGAATAAGCACACTGTACTCTGAAAGTCTTTGCCATTTGCTGTTTTTATTTTTAGCTATTTATTTTACAGATGAAAAATCCAAATCAATCTATAAAGGTGACACCTGATCATTTCGCAGTACCTAAGCTGTTCTCAAACAATTACAGGTGCACTAAGCGATTCCCGAGAAACACTGAATATAGTCTTGAATGAACAGAATGAATTAATTGACGCCTTCATTGCTCCTTCCCCAAAATGCACAAACACGTAATGAGCGTGTGGATGTCTCTTTAACATGAATTGTAAAAATGAACGTGTATACAAGCAAGAGTCTGGACACATCACAGACAAATACTGACACACAAAAGTGTCCTGTTACTATTGATAACCAGTGTTGGGCAGTAACTAGTTATAATATAACTTTTTGCAGTAACTTATTACTAATACGATTTCAGTTACCATCCCTAAAACAGCTCCTTACTTAATTACTTTTTATGCCTCAACCCCAACTGATTTGAAGTCCAACAATCCAATAATTCCTAGATTTATTTTCATAATTTTCATGACTTGACAGGCACATGAAGCCACCAGTGCAGCAGGCAAGCTTGGAATATGGAAAAGCTTGCATTCGGGGGATGGAAATATTGCAATTACATTGATTTTGTAAGGAGAAAAGATAGTTATGGCATTAGTTTACTCTAGCATTGCATGGCTTGCCCAGCCACGTCTTTCTAATCCTGATATAAATTGTATTAGAAAACAAAACATTTTAATATATACTTATGTTATTTCTTTTGATAAAATGCATCATGAAATATAATCGTATATGGTTATCAGAGAAATTATAGCTACAATTAGCTTCAAGCTACACAATTAATGAGAATAATACAACACTTTTACTTAAACGTCACTATCAATCACTATCAAATGAGCGCTTGTAATAACTTCTTCTAAAATGTTACTAACAATATATTTCTGCCTCATCATCTGGCCAAAATCCACATTGTCCAGTCTGTCTCTGAATCTCTCATTAACATTGTCAGAGAAAATTCCAGCTGCTTCATTCATGTTAGCTATGATAGAGTTATCATCTCCAAACATCCACAGTATGGTATCATCTCTCTTTATTTCAGTAACGTTAGTGTTTAAAGTGACAGAATCTCCCTCCATCACTATCACCGTCTTCACCCCATCTGCCACAGCAACAAACACATCTGTAGAACAAACAGGAGCAGTATTGCAAAGAGAAATTGTTCATATTTGTGCTGTCTATTATTATTAGTTTTTTTTTCACAGACAAATTTACTGTAACTAAATGTCAACCATAGCCCCTGCATGGAAGGCATAAATAGGCCTAGGCCTATTAGGCGTTATCCATTATAACTAGTAAAAGTTAAAGGGAAGAGAAAACGTACTCATGCCAGAATACTGCTCTATCCTTGCCATGTTGTATTCATCACTGGTTTTGACATGACCAGATGGAGTAACTGGAAAACACAAGAGAATACAAATAAACAAGAACTGATTTGTTTCTTTTCACAGCTTCAGATGTCAGCTTTTGCTATAAATATGATAATGCATTATTATTGACACTTTTACACAAACTTTGATTTTTTTTTTTTTTTTAGTATATCCTGCTGAAACAGTAAACAATACGTTTTCACTAACAAAATTCCTGTTATTGCACCAGCACAAACAACAGTGCTGTGCATTTAAGGGAAAATGTGTTTGGATTTTACAATGGTGACTCAACAGCACATAGCAGAAAGAAGAAAAATATGTCATATTACATTAAGCCTAAACATAAAACCACCTTTAAAACGTAAAAAAAATGTATATATGCATGTTTCAAACTTGAATAGGCTAATGCAGGGGTGCCCAAACTCGGTCCTGGAGGGCCGGTGTCCTGCAGAGTTTAGCTCCAGCTTGCCTCAACACACCTGCCTGGAAGTTTCTAGAATGCCTAGTAAGAGCTTGATTGGCTGCTTCAGGTGTGTTGGAGCTAAACTCTGCAGGACACCGGCCCTCCAGGACCGAGTTTGGGCACCCCTGGGCTAATGTTTTACACTGAGTAAACTGTGCACATTAGTGTCAAGTACAAAGAGTGCTACTGACAAAAACCTACACCACGACCAGAGTGAATTATTTATTCATTAAACAGACGCTTGTATCCACAAATGACGCGCAGATTATTACAGGCCGTCAGCGCCCTCTAGTGTCTATAATCACCAAACACACACACATACATACACAACTACTTTACCCTCGAAATACGCTTACATTGTGCGGTGTGATTTATCACAACAACGTCTATGTGTTGAAAAGTAATGCACGTTTGTATGTATTAAAACACTGGAGATATTAAAGTTAGAAGACATCAGCAAATGTTCTGCTTCTGGCTGATACTGAAACCGAAAGTGTTGAATATGAATAAAAATAGCCTGATAAAACTAAAGGCGACTTACCGTCCACGAGTAATAAAACCCAACACATGAAGGAAAGGTTCCTCATACTTATAAGTCGCTTCTGACCGCATCTAAACTGAATGGCAGCCGTGATTCAGTGTACTGATACTGGACTCGTCTCAAACTGACCAAATCACGTGATTTCCGCGAAAGAGGATGCGTTACGTCATACCATTTCGAAGTGTTTCAACGTGAAGCTGGACTGGGTCAAAAGGTCAAACATATTCATACAGAGAGACTTGTTCAATAGGTTTTTATTAGGGTTTTTAGTAGGATGTAGGCTACTTACTATATCAGAAAAGCTCATACTCTGTCTACACAACCCAAGAGCCCGTAGACACGTTTGTCATGTTTTATAAAAGCATTTTTGTCATTGTATAATGTGGATACAATTAATTTGATATCATTTCTGTATTTTAAATCCTATATTGAAGGACATATTAGAGTGAATAATGATTTGAGAGTCTCCTTCACAGTTTATTTTGTGCTCTAATTCAACATTTTGACATTTGTTTTTGAACTCCGTTCAGTTTTGTTTCAAATACCACAGTTGTCTTTTTAACTGTGAGTTTAATTTCTTTGTTTTCTATTCTCCAGCTCACCTAGCCATTCCCGTCTTTATCACTCTCCTCAAAAGCCTTCATCATCATCATCATCAGATAGCTCACTGAAAAATAAGAACTCTGTCATCACTTAACTACCCTCACGTAATCTTAACCTGCATTTTTCTACATCTTTCTTCCTTTCTTTAGTCTATGGAACATAACATATGCTATTTTAAAGAATGTTGGCAAGTGGTTTAGTAGTACATGTGGTGTGTTGGTGACCTTCGTGGTTCTTAGCACAGTTGCACAGCTCTCATGAGAACCGCAGAATAAAAATAAGAACAAAACTCAAACCGACAACTCTCATTCTATGAAACGTAACATTTGATTATATGATTCGAATTACAAAACAAATACATACGTATTCTCTAGAAGCTGGGCTAAATGAGTAAACACTGCATTCCTGACACGGGTCAGACCCCCAGTCACCTCTCAGATACCACATACAGACATTGCTTGTAACATAAATACCAGAATAGATGCACTAGTTTAAAGAAAACTATGCTAACTTGTTCATTAAATAATACAAGAGGGGGAGATTGGAAATCCACCCCTTCACTGTATATTTAGGTGACAATGTATTGCAATTCAATAGTGGCAAAAGAGATGATTAAAATAGCTCAATAAAGTGAGAGCAAAAGCATAAACTTCAAATGAAGAGGAAATAAGGTCCATTCACACATCAGTTGTCAAAGCTTTACTGTATTACGTACAGAGTATAATGTACCAACCACAATATACTTAGATGTTTCTTTAATATTGTTCAAGACAATACTATATGTGCATTATCAGACAGATGGACATATGACTGATTTAAAGGGGTCATGACCAGAGAAATTCCCTAGATCTTTTGACATACAAGGGGTCATTTTACTATAAAACCTACTGTGAGTTTCTCAAAACTTTTTTGTGAGTCTAAAAACAGCTTGTGTTTAAGCCAATCTGCCAAAATGACAGGTTGTGGAATGTGCCACTTTATGATGTAATAGTGTGGCTAAACACCGCCCCCTCAGACGAAGATCAACTCCTGCTTCTGCATCACTGCCTGTTTAGGCCCGCCCACCGTTCTGCACATGAAGTGTGTATATTCTATGGATGACTTCAGTAAATGGTCAATGTAATCATCATATACTACAGTTGGAAAAATTAGATTTTCGACCAAAGTAATTTTAGCCTTTCTATTTTTTTTTACCCAGCCAGTGACCCTGAAAGCGTCCAAACTGCATTTGAAATCTAAATGAAATACAATCCTATGGCTGCCGCCCGGTGCTCACCTCCTGTCATTTTTATAAAGTTGAGCATTTCTCAAATTTTAGACGGCCCGACCGCTCTCAAGACTTTCTCCGTCCAAAAGATAAGAAATGCCCGCAACTTTAATGATTTGGAGCTTCTTTTGCAGTTTATTTCTTGTCTTTTCTTTTCTTTTAAACTGTATTATTTATAGAAAAAAGACTATCTCAGAAAACCACAAATGTTTTTAAAACAGGACACAGCCAAGAGGCAAAGCATTTCAAATAAAAGTAAAAATTTTATTAGACCATTTAAATGTTTATATAATATTTAATTAAATATTAGAGAAAAAAAAAATATATATATATATAAGATTGCTGTGATCCAGCTTCAAGAAAAAAACATCTTAGATTTGTCTCAACGTCTTTAGAAATATCCTTTAGTTGTCTATCTTTTTAATTATCTGATAATATTACCTTAAAAACCACAATAAATTCCTTGTGTGTCTGCACACACTTGGCGAATAAAGATAATTGTGATTGTGATTCTGATAATATGACAGACTGGTCACAACCACTAACAACAACTCATTTTCACCAGCAGAAGTCAGTGTCCCCTCAGGTCTGATCATCGACTACAGCTCATTTATGTTTAGATAAAGAAATGGGAATATTTAATGAGCCTTGTGCAACATTTCTCCTATACTTCAGGATTTTCTCTTCTAACTGATTCTCTATTTTTACTTGTTTCCTCTGTTAGATTAATATTGCTATGCACCTTAACTGAAACTTGAGCCAACACATTGACCTGCCAAGCCAAATGTTAACAGTAGCGATCACAAGACAATTGATTATAATTCTCCGTGTACTCTTGCCATATCCTCAGAAGCTACTGTATATTGGGTGTGTGATACAGGATATCAAGATTAAAACAGTTAATAATTTAGACAGACAAAAACACTACAATCTCAGACACATCATTCCAGGGGCGTAGCCATCATTTCAGAAGTGAGGGGGACAGAAATGTTATATATATATAAAACATTACAGTATAACATTACAGTTTTGAACAGTAATATTTTTAATATTTTATAAAGATGTCTCTTCTGCTCACCAAGCCTGCATTTATTTCTACACCCCTGCCTCATTCAATCTCAGTTATGTTTGGGGTAAAATAGAATTTATTAGGCATTTAAAAGATAACAAAAATTATTAAATTATTTTTGGTACAAGCAGATTCAGTAAGCCAAAAGAAAAAAAAGTAAATAAAAGTTGTTCCAAAATTTTGCAACGGCTGTTAAACCCTTTCGAACTTCCATTGGTTCATGTCTATTAGGCCTACATAATAGGTTACACATAATAGGTTCAGGTTTTTTTGACATGGAAATTTTTTTCAGGATAATTTCTTCAATCTGTCAAGGTCAGCTATGAGTAAAAACAAGACCACCCTGCTGCTTATTGTTGAAGTTGTACTTACAATCAAAAGTCTGTTTCTTGAAACTGAAGATTTGCAGATT